TTTTTATAATATTCTTTACCTTCTATTAAAATCTTACGAAGGTGTTTTGCTACGTTTTGGAGATATTAATTTTCAAAATTTTTTATTTAAAAAGGTTAATTAAAAGACTTGAAGTTAACTGACCAATTTCAAGTCGCTACATTTTAATATATTTTTATAAAAAATGGAGCAGTTTGAATTTGGTTAGTTAACTTCAAGTCTTTTAATTAACCTTTTTAAATAAAAAATTTTGAAAATTAATATCTCCAAAACGTAGCAAAACACCTTCGTAAGATTTTAATAGAAGGTAAAGAATATTATAAAAAATCTTTGTTCAAAACCTCAATTTTTTCGGAGCACCGACAAAAAAGTTATAAGTAAATAAAAATCTTGAGAATATTTAAATAAAATTTTTTTTTAAAATCGTATATCATCCAAAAATTATAAATTTTTGCAATAATTATTTCGTTCCTCTGTGCAGAATAAAGTGATTTATGTTTTTGGTGAGTTCCAACATCTAATTTTTAATAGTTTTTTAATAATAGCGTTTTTAAAAAAATTGAAAAATTTAAGGTTACAAAATCACATTGTGAACCTCCTACTTTTGATATTTAATATTTTTAAAGGGAATAAAATTTTTACCATAATATTATGGTTAATGAACTCAGGGAATCATCGAGTTTCACATATATTAAAACTAGATTTTTTAAAAATTTGGTCGCAACCACTATTAGACGAATGTTAGTGGACTGACCCTAAAACTTAACATAATCCTATTTACTTGGTTAACTTTCATTTCACTAATTTTTTCGATAGTTAAGATAATTTTTGCTTGGCGTAACTTTTTGCATCGAAGATGTTTTTGTTGGAATTTAAAAACTTTTTGTAAGTATCATTTAATGTCATGATTCTGTAATGAATCAGCTAAGAAGCATAGAGAGGATCTGATCATGCCACACAAAAAAAAGTAGAATTTTACCCTAAAATCCGTATAAAAATTACCTGCAACAAATTTTATCCTAGTTGAGGGCGCCACCGTCTATGTGAATTAGCATTGGTGAAAATTACCCGCAACAAAATTTACCCAGCGTTTTTTCTGTGATACGTGTCTTATCAGATCTATATTTTTATGATTTTCAGATTTAAACAGTCGGATTCTTTGGGAATTCTCCCATTTTCATTACATAAATGATTTTTTTTAACATTCTTTACACGCGGCAAAAAAGATTTGAACGAAATCGGTAAAGAACTTTTTGAGATATATATCTCTAATTTTAGTCGAAAAATGTCAATATTTTGAGAAAATATATTCGTGGATTTTTTTTTACTTTACGTCGATAAGAATTTATAATAATTTAATCTACTGATATTTAATATATTGAATATAGAATAATGATTTTTTTTGTTATTTTTCATATGGATTCCGATTATAAATATTGTTGCTTATGGAAAGGAAATGAATGTTCATAAAACGTAATATAATATATCTTTGAGTACGATTTATGGAAAATGACATTTCCTACAAAGGATCATTACTTCCTTCTTCTTCTGTCATTTTGCGAACATGGGCTGGGTTTAATTTAGCTTCTGCAGTTAGTATAGTAAATACATATGGGCGATTCCACGTGAGATTTACCTATGACCTTTTAATTTCATCTGAATATAGTTTTTTCTTATTCTTTGTAGAACAAAGGTTTGGGTCTTTCTTTTAATTTTTTTATAAGTGCTCAAATTTTCGAGTTATGAATTTATAAAAATCTGATTTTTTCAAGTTTTTTTGAAATACAACGCAAATTTCAATTACATGTAATTCTAAAAGTATTGAATTTAGGAATTATGACCAAGATACAAAAAAGTTTCAGTTTTTCATCGACTTTCAAAATATGTTAACGAACAAAAAAATTTTGAATTTGTTTATAAAAAATAGCGATTTTTTATAAACAAATTTTTTTTTAAATTTAGACGCGATTTTTTTTTATTTTTACACACACGAAAATAAGAAGAAAATTTTGTAATAAGTTTTAGAGTAAGCATGATGATCTTTTTGTTTATATAATTTGTTTAACCTTTATGGGACTGACGAGGTACCCGGGTACCTTTTGCATTTTCAAATTGAATTTTTTCTTAATTTTTAAAATCGTATTGACCTAAAGTTTTTTGACATCTCAAATTTATCCATACAAAGTGTTTTAATATTATGGTAGGGATATGGTATGGTATGGTAGTAAATTGAGCGAAAGCAGTTCCAATTTAAGTTACATAAACAAAAACTTCACACAAGTATATCAGTCCAATGTTAGGTTAGAAAAAATTCAAATCAGAGAGCCAAGTTAAGGCAAATGATGCAGATAATAAAAAACTTTCACTAAAAACCAGCACAAAATAATGTTTATAACTATAAGGTTGTAAAAGAACAGACCAAACTTAAACCGTTTTATTTAAACAAAATCAACCGAGACACATGTGAACACGTGTTTAGTAGCTGCCACCTAGCGGCAAAATTTAATGTTTAATTTAATTTTTTTTTTAATTTCTTAAATAATTATAGTAATAATAATTTATTTACAATAAAAGCCGTAATTGGCATAACCCACAAAAAGTAAGAGAAAAATATAAGTGGCTTTCATTATTATTGTTGTGAAAACTATGAAACAAAATATTCATGAAAACCTTTTGTAAAAATTCATGAAAATTGCCTTCTATTTATATACAAGCTTATCACAAAAAGCATAAAAATATAAAAAAAATTCATTTGCAATAAATGACTTATCTAAAATTTTTGTATTACACGATTTTTTTTTATTACTTTTGGTGAAACTTAAGATTATTTTTGAAAAAAAAATAAAATTTGCAGTATCTTTTTGAAAAAAATATTATTTTTAAATTAAATTTTATTTTTTAAAACTAAATTAAAAAATAGAAATTTAAATACAATTGACAAATTTTTAAAATTTTTTTAAAGGATATATTTAGATTTTTTCTATCAATGTTCAATATAACATTAAAAGAAATGAATCATGTAACATTTTTAAATTATAAAATATATGAATTTTTTATTTGTTACACGTGTAACGTGCGTGCATTAGATATACATAAAATATGTTTTTGAAATTATGAACGTACAAATTCAATTTTTATGTTTTTAAAAATTCAAAAAAATATTAGGTATTTCTTTTTCCATTTAAAAATTTTTTTTTACAATATTGTATGTCTCTTTTAGTATATATATATATATATATATATATACAGTAAGAAAAGTACCATGGTAGTCACAGCCCATGAGTGCGAGTAAGACAAACTTATGCGTAACGCATGCTTTCCTATGACTAGTGATTTTCTTACTGTGTATATATATATGGGGGACAGGGGGCAATATGATTCTGTAAAACGTTGTAAACACCAGGTGCTTAAACCCTCTCTCTTTCTAGTACACCATATGGTCACCATGGTCCTATTTATCGCCTTGCTCGATGCTTGTTTTCATTGTCTCGCTCCCGGTCAGATCTCATGTTCTCGTGTAATCTTATTTCATTTCATTTTTTTTTCTTTTAAACCGTATACCTGTTGTGTGTATCTATATACGCGTATTTCTCCAATCCCCCCATCCGTTTTAAAAGAAGCTAAATTCATATCAGAATATATATATAAAGTACATAAAATTTGTGATTAAATCTATGAGTTTAATTTTTTTTCTTCAGTTTTGTCTTATTTTGCGTATTATATATAGACAAGATTTTATGTGTTTTTTCTTATTCAAAGAATTGATGCGAGATAGAATCAATAAAAACGTTTAAAGAAAAATATTTTATTCGTTACTATACATATAAATAATATTATTATTAATAGAAATATTGTAGAATATATTGTAGTATTTTTAATATTTTTTTTCTTCTAATCTTTTGAAATAAATAATTCTTTTGGTAAAAAAAAAATTTTTTATAAGACAGCTCACAACGACATGAAAAGAGAGAAAATAAAATCTTTTAAAGAATTTGTTTAATTTATTCTTAACCCATTAAAGACCGCCTGGACGAAAAATTTACCTTCACTTAGCAGCTGTTATTTTATATGAAAAAATAATTCAAAAAATTCAGGATAGCCCATTTCTAACGTAAAATTTATCGCTCTTTTCGATTCTGAAGTCCAAATTTAATTAAAATTAAATCCTTAATATTTATAACAATTTTATTGCAAAAAAACATGATTTTCTGCAAAAAAAATTTTATTCAAAAAATATTTTGACATGGAAAACGACAGTTAATTTGCTCCGGAACCCAAAATATCGCGTCCTGGAATACCCAGCTACAAAACTATATAGTTGTGAATTTCAAAATTTAAGATAGCGGACGACAAAATGGCGATTTTCCACTAAAAAAGATTTAAAAAATACTATTTTGCAAAAAAAAATATATTGATGAATTATTTTTATTTCTGCACTATATACTTATGTTTTTTGGGTCACTAAACACGAATACGGTATAAGTTTTCAAAAATTCAAAATGGCGGATCCAATATGGCGGACAATTTTTTCAAAAACTCAATGGATTTATTTGAAATTTGTTACTCGGGGGTTTTTGGGGTCGCCGGTTAAGAATCTGAAGTTACTTTTCAATAATTCAACATGGCGGATTCGAAATAGCCTACAAATTTTAAAATTCACCGAATTTGCTTAAAAATCAATACTTATTGAGTTTTTGGGGTCGTTGATTTCGAATTACAGTAATAAAATAGTAGATCAGTAATAAAAAATGTTTAAATAAAATTTTCTGTTATATTGTTAATAGAATTTTCTTTATGGCGAAAACTGAAACGGGTTACCTTCTGTAATTGAAAAAATTTAATATAGAAACAATTTTTTTACTCACCGAGAAACATTTTCATTATATGTAAATAGTTTATTGAACTACATTTAACAATAATAAAAAAAAAATTAAATAATTTATTTACTCTTAAATCTTATCAACTTAATAATAATTTTCTCTATATATATATTAAAAATCAATTTAAATTATTAAAAAATGTTAATTGTCAATTTTTTATTTTAAATAATTGTTAATTTATTAATTGAAAAGATCCATTCAAATATATTTTGTAAAAGTACGCTAGGAATTTGTTTATATCGTTGTTATTTCCCATCTATGGTCCAATAAGTGTATTCCGACAGTTCCTTAGGACAACTTGCAATTTTGATAAGTAATATTTACGATATTTATAGGTTTAATTAAACAAAATTTTTAATCCATAATAATCCACTTAGTTACTAGGGGGGGAAGGGTATTTGTGGATTGTGGAATTGAGTTCTAGTAGTAGATCTCTTGGTTGTGATGGTAGTTCTTCCGGGTGTATTTCTTCTGAAAAAAATTAACATTCTATAGTTTTTAATTTACTTATTCTTTATTTACAAACTATCAAAGGACCCCGCACAAAAAATAATAAGTAATACCAGGCGGTCTTTAATGGGTTAAGAATAAATTAAACAAATTCTTTAAAAGATTTTATTTTCTCTCTTTTCATGTCGTTGTGAGCTGTCTTATAAAAAAATATATAAATATAATAAGTATTTTTTTTCCCTATAGGGGAAAAAAATTTTCGGTCAAATTTTTTTAAACTTTGCAGTTTTGTAGATTATACCCTCCTGAACAAAAAATATTAAGGTCAAAACCTTCAAGAATCAAGTCCTTCTGAGCTACACCATGTTGAAAGCTTAAAAAGTGACAAAAAAAACTAAGTTTTAGGCTCATGGTTTGGCTTTGGCTTAAGGCTTGAGTTTGGCTCGAAGCTCATGTTTGGCTCAAGGCTCAGGTTTGGCTCGAGGCTCACGTATGGCTCAAAGCTTAAGTTTGGCTCGTGGCTCACGTTAGGCTTAAAGCTTAAGTTTGGCTCGAGGCTTGGCTTTGGCCCAAGGCTCACGTTAGGCTCAAGGCTTGAGTTTGGCTCAAGGCTTAAGTTTGGCTCGAGGCTTGGCTTTGGCTCGAGGCTCACGTTAGGCTCAAGGCTTGAGTTTGGCTCAAGGCTTAAGTTTAGCTCGAGGCTTGGCTTTGGCTCGTGGCTCACGTTAGGCTCAAGGCTTGAGTTTGGCTCGTGGCTCACGATAGGCTTAAAGCTTGAGTTTGGCTCGAGGCTCATACATGGCTCAAGGCTTGAGTTTGGCTTAAGGCTTGAGATTGGCCCAAGGCTCACGTTAGGCTCAAGCCTTGAGCCTAACGTGAGCCTCGAGCCAAACTCAAGCCATAAGCCAAAGCCAAACTATGAGCCTAAAACTTAGTTTTTTTGTCACTTTTTAAACTTTCAACATGGTGTAGCTCAGAAGGACTTGATTCTTGGAGGTTTTGACCTTAATATTTTTTGTTCAGAAGGTGATAATCTACAAAACTGCAAAGTTTAAAAAAATTTGACCAAAAATTTTTTTCCCCTATAGCGTGTGCGGGGTCCTTTGTTTAAATAAAATTTTCTATTATATTGTTAATATAATTTTCTTTACGGCGCTGGAGGAAACTAGTAATCTGTTGTAATTGCAAAAAATTTAATATAGAAAAAATTTTTTTACTCACCGAGAAATATTCAATTATATGTGAATAGTTTATTGAACTAAATTTAAAAATAATAAAAAAAAATATTAAATAATTTATTTACTCTTAAATCTTATCAACTTAATAATAATTTTTATATATAAATATATTAAAAATCAATTTAAATTGTTAAATTTAAATTTTCAATTTTTTATTTTAATTAATTGTTAATTTATTAATTGAAAAGTTCCATTCAAAACATATTTTGTAAAAGTACACTAGGAATTTGTTTATATCGTTGTTATTTCCCATCTATGCTCCAATAAGTGTATTCCGAAAGTTCTTTAGGAGAACTTGCAATTTTGCTAAGTAATAATTATGATATTTATAGGTTTAATTAAATAAAATTTTTATGAAACGTCACTTTCTTCAAATAGTATCACTGGTTTACTGTTTTTCGGACAAATGATGATTTCGACAACTATACTTTCTAAATTTGAATTAGTGAAAAGTGAGCTACTAATTTAGATTTAGAGATTAGTGATTTTACTAGTTTTTATGGGAGCTCGTCGCAAATTCAATAAATAATTTTTGTTAATTAACATTGCTTTTTGTTTTTTAAATACCCAAGTTATCGTTTTCAATTTGTTGTGCTGGTCCATCTGTATCTCCACCTCCTCGAAATGGTTCTAGTAGTGATCCTCGTTGTGTTGGTTCTACCTCTCCACCTCCTCGAAATGGTTCTAGTAGTGCTTCTCGTAGTCTTTGTTTTACCGGGTATACTTTTTCTTAAAAAAAATTAACATTCTATAATTTTTAATTTACTTATTCTTTATTACTAAAGAAATTTTTTGTTATTGATTTTCAATTTCAACAAATATTATGACTATTGACTAAATTCAGAAACGAATCAATTCACCTATTATTGATCCGTTTATTATAAAATATTTGAAAGTCATTTGTATTAAAAATCTATTTCTGCAAACTACCAGAAACTACAACTTAATACAAAAAGTTCATGCTTCAACTTGGCAGCGGTTTTGTATATTAAATAGAATATTTAAATTTTTCAATAACATCAGAATTGATAAATAACACAGGCCTGCAAAATTCGACTTTTTTTTTATTTTTGATATTGAAGTCGTTTCCTATGTAATTTAGTGCGCTGAACAAGATCCCGTGTCCCAAAATGGCCTAGCACGTCAGAATTTTGAGAAAAGTGGGGGAAAGAGCCCAAAAACCGTGTTTTTGGGTGTTTTCAAGAATTTTTTTTTCCTTAACCTGACGTGCTAGAAACTTATACTAGGTCTTAAATTAAAGCTTAAAGTGTGCACTTTAAGACCCATATGAGCAAGTAAAAAAAAACTTAAGGGATTTTGAGAAAAGTGGGGGGAAAAAGCCCCAAAAAAATTTTTTTACACACTTTATATCGGAGTGGTTTTTTATGTATTTTTGTGCGCTGAACACGATCCCGGGTTCCAAAATGGCCTAAAACGACAGGATTTTGAGAAAAGTGGGGGTAAAAAAATAAAAAAAACGCGTTTTTAGGGTGGAAAAAAATTTTTTTGGTGCCCTTTACCCCCACTTTTCTCAAAATCCCTTAAGTTTTTTTTGACTTGCGCACATGAATCTTAAAGTGCACGCTTTAAGCTTTAATTTAAGACCTAGTAGAAGTTTCTAGCACGTCAGGTTAAGGAGAAAAAAATTCTGGAAAACACTCAAAAACACGTTGTTTAGGCTCTTTACCCCCACTTTTCTCAAAATCCCTTAAGTTTTTTTTTTACTTGCGCATATAGGTCTCAAAGTGCACACTTTAAGCTTTAATTTAAGACGTAGTAGAAGTTTCTAGCACGTCAGGTTAAGGAGAAAAAAATTCTTGAAAACACCTAAAAACACGGTTTTTGGGCTCTTTCCCCCACTTTTCTTAAAATTCTGACGTGCTGGGCCATTTTGGGACACGGGATCTTGTTCAGCGCACTAAATTACATAGGAAAACGACTTCAATATCAAAAATAAAAAAAAAAAGTCGAATTTTGCAGGCCTGTGTTATTTATCAATTCTGATGTTATTGAACTAAATTTAAAAATAATAAAAAAAAATATTAAATAATTTATTTACTCTTAAATCTTATCAACTTAATAATAATTTTTATATATAAATATATTAAAAATCAATTTAAATTGTTAAATTTAAATTTTCAATTTTTTATTTTAATTAATTGTTAATTTATTAATTGAAAAGTTCCATTCAAAACATATTTTGTAAAAGTACACTAGGAATTTGTTTATATCGTTGTTATTTCCCATCTATGCTCCAATAAGTGTATTCCGAAAGTTCTTTAGGAGAACTTGCAATTTTGCTAAGTAATAATTATGATATTTATAGGTTTAATTAAATAAAATTTTTATGAAACGTCACTTTCTTCAAATAGTATCACTGGTTTACTGTTTTTCGGACAAATGATGATTTCGACAACTATACTTTCTAAATTTGAATTAGTGAAAAGTGAGCTACTAATTTAGATTTAGAGATTAGTGATTTTACTAGTTTTTATGGGAGCTCGTCGCAAATTCAATAAATAATTTTTGTTAATTAACATTGCTTTTTGTTTTTTAAATACCCAAGTTATCGTTTTCAATTTGTTGTGCTGGTCCATCTGTATCTCCACCTCCTCGAAATGGTTCTAGTAGTGATCCTCGTTGTGTTGGTTCTACCTCTCCACCTCCTCGAAATGGTTCTAGTAGTTCTTCTCGTAGTCTTTGTTTTACCGGGTATACTTTTTCTTAAAAAAAATTAACATTCTATAATTTTTAATTTACTTATTCTTTATTACTAAAGAAATTTTTTGTTATTGATTTTCAATTTCAACAAATATTATGACTATTGACTAAATTCAGAAACGAATCAATTCACCTATTATTGATCCATTTATTATAAAATATTTGAAAGTCATTTGTATTAAAAATCTATTTCTGCAAACTACCAGAAACTACAACTTAATACAAAAAGTTCATGCTTCAACTTGGCAGCGGTTTTGTATATTAAATAGAATATTTAAATTTTTCAATAACATCAGAATTGATAAATAACACAGGCCTGCAAAAATTCGACTTTTTTTTTATTTTTGATATTGAAGTCGTTTCCTATGTAATTTAGTGCGCTGAACAAGATCCCGTGTCCTAAAATGGCCTAGCACGTCAGAATTTTAAGAAAAGTGGGGGAAAGAGCCCAAAAACCGTGTTTTTGGGTGTTTTCAAGAATTTTTTTCTCCTTAACCTGACGTGCTAGAAACTTATACTAGGTCTTAAATTAAAGCTTAAAGTGTGCACTTTAAGACCCATATGAGCAAGTAAAAAAAAACTTAAGGGATTTTGAGAAAAGTGGGGGGAAAAAGCCCCAAAAAAATTTTTTTACACACTTTATATCGGAGTGGTTTTTTATGTATTTTTGTGCGCTGAACACGATCCCGGGTTCCAAAATGGCCTAAAACGACAGGATTTTGAGAAAAGTGGGGGTAAAAAAATAAAAAAAACGCGTTTTTAGGGTGGAAAAAAATTTTTTTGGTGCCCTTTACCCCCACTTTTCTCAAAATCCCTTAAGTTTTTTTTGACTTGCGCACATGAATCTTAAAGTGCACGATTTAAGCTTTAATTTAAGACCTAGTAGAAGTTTCTAGCACGTCAGGTTAAGGAGAAAAAAATTCTGGAAAACACTCAAAAACACGTTGTTTAGGCTCTTTACCCCCACTTTTCTCAAAATCCCTTAAGTTTTTTTTTTACTTGCGCATATAGGTCTCAAAGTGCACACTTTAAGCTTTAATTTAAGACGTAGTAGAAGTTTCTAGCACGTCAGGTTAAGGAGAAAAAAATTCTTGAAAACACCTAAAAACACGGTTTTTGGGCTCTTTCCCCCACTTTTCTTAAAATTCTGACGTGCTGGGCCATTTTGGGACACGGGATCTTGTTCAGCGCACTAAATTACATAGGAAAACGACTTCAATATCAAAAATAAAAAAAAAAAGTCGAATTTTGCAGGCCTGTGTTATTTATCAATTCTGATGTTATTGAACTAAATTTAAAAATAATAAAAAAAAATATTAAATAATTTATTTACTCTTAAATCTTATCAACTTAATAATAATTTTTATATATAAATATATTAAAAATCAATTTAAATTGTTAAATTTAAATTTTCAATTTTTTATTTTAATTAATTGTTAATTTATTAATTGAAAAGTTCCATTCAAAACATATTTTGTAAAAGTACACTAGGAATTTGTTTATATCGTTGTTATTTCCCATCTATGCTCCAATAAGTGTATTCCGAAAGTTCTTTAGGAGAACTTGCAATTTTGCTAAGTAATAATTATGATATTTATAGGTTTAATTAAATAAAATTTTTATGAAACGTCACTTTCTTCAAATAGTATCACTGGTTTACTGTTTTTCGGACAAATGATGATTTCGACAACTATACTTTCTAAATTTGAATTAGTGAAAAGTGAGCTACTAATTTAGATTTAGAGATTAGTGATTTTACTAGTTTTTATGGGAGCTCGTCGCAAATTCAATAAATAATTTTTGTTAATTAACATTGCTTTTTGTTTTTTAAATACCCAAGTTATCGTTTTCAATTTGTTGTGCTGGTCCATCTGTATCTCCACCTCCTCGAAATGGTTCTAGTAGTGATCCTCGTTGTGTTGGTTCTACCTCTCCACCTCCTCGAAATGGTTCTAGTAGTTCTTCTCGTAGTCTTTGTTTTACCGGGTATACTTTTTCTTAAAAAAAATTAACATTCTATAATTTTTAATTTACTTATTCTTTATTACTAAAGAAATTTTTTGTTATTGATTTTCAATTTCAACAAATATTATGACTATTGACTAAATTCAGAAACGAATCAATTCACCTATTATTGATCCATTTATTATAAAATATTTGAAAGTCATTTGTATTAAAAATCTATTTCTGCAAACTACCAGAAACTACAACTTAATACAAAAAGTTCATGCTTCAACTTGGCAGCGGTTTTGTATATTAAATAGAATATTTAAATTTTTCAATAACATCAGAATTGATAAATAACACAGGCCTGCAAAAATTCGACTTTTTTTTTATTTTTGATATTGAAGTCGTTTCCTATGTAATTTAGTGCGCTGAACAAGATCCCGTGTCCTAAAATGGCCTAGCACGTCAGAATTTTAAGAAAAGTGGGGGAAAGAGCCCAAAAACCGTGTTTTTGGGTGTTTTCAAGAATTTTTTTCTCCTTAACCTGACGTGCTAGAAACTTATACTAGGTCTTAAATTAAAGCTTAAAGTGTGCACTTTAAGACCCATATGAGCAAGTAAAAAAAAACTTAAGGGATTTTGAGAAAAGTGGGGGGAAAAAGCCCCAAAAAAATTTTTTTACACACTTTATATCGGAGTGGTTTTTTATGTATTTTTGTGCGCTGAACACGATCCCGGGTTCCAAAATGGCCTAAAACGACAGGATTTTGAGAAAAGTGGGGGTAAAAAAATAAAAAAAACGCGTTTTTAGGGTGGAAAAAAATTTTTTTGGTGCCCTTTACCCCCACTTTTCTCAAAATCCCTTAAGTTTTTTTTGACTTGCGCACATGAATCTTAAAGTGCACGCTTTAAGCTTTAATTTAAGACCTAGTAGAAGTTTCTAGCACGTCAGGTTAAGGAGAAAAAAATTCTGGAAAACACTCAAAAACACGTTGTTTAGGCTCTTTACCCCCACTTTTCTCAAAATCCCTTAAGTTTTTTTTTTACTTGCGCATATAGGTCTCAAAGTGCACACTTTAAGCTTTAATTTAAGACGTAGTAGAAGTTTCTAGCACGTCAGGTTAAGGAGAAAAAAATTCTTGAAAACACCTAAAAACACGGTTTTTGGGCTCTTTCCCCCACTTTTCTTAAAATTCTGACGTGCTGGGCCATTTTGGGACACGGGATCTTGTTCAGCGCACTAAATTACATAGGAAAACGACTTCAATATCAAAAATAAAAAAAAAAGTCGAATTTTGCAGGCCTGTGTTATTTATCAATTCTGATGTTATTGAACTAAATTTAAAAATAATAAAAAAAAATATTAAATAATTTATTTACTCTTAAATCTTATCAACTTAATAATAATTTTTATATATAAATATATTAAAAATCAATTTAAATTGTTAAATTTAAATTTTCAATTTTTTATTTTAATTAATTGTTAATTTATTAATTGAAAAGTTCCATTCAAAACATATTTTGTAAAAGTACACTAGGAATTTGTTTATATCGTTGTTATTTCCCATCTATGCTCCAATAAGTGTATTCCGAAAGTTCTTTAGGAGAACTTGCAATTTTGCTAAGTAATAATTATGATATTTATAGGTTTAATTAAATAAAATTTTTATGAAACGTCACTTTCTTCAAATAGTATCACTGGTTTACTGTTTTTCGGACAAATGATGATTTCGACAACTATACTTTCTAAATTTGAATTAGTGAAAAGTGAGCTACTAATTTAGATTTAGAGATTAGTGATTTTACTAGTTTTTATGGGAGCTCGTCGCAAATTCAATAAATAATTTTTGTTAATTAACATTGCTTTTTGTTTTTTAAATACCCAAGTTATCGTTTTCAATTTGTTGTGCTGGTCCATCTGTATCTCCACCTCCTCGAAATGGTTCTAGTAGTGATCCTCGTTGTGTTGGTTCTACCTCTCCACCTCCTCGAAATGGTTCTAGTAGTTCTTCTCGTAGTCTTTGTTTTACCGGGTATACTTTTTCTTAAAAAAAATTAACATTCTATAATTTTTAATTTACTTATTCTTTATTACTAAAGAAATTTTTTGTTATTGATTTTCAATTTCAACAAATATTATGACTATTGACTAAATTCAGAAACGAATCAATTCACCTATTATTGATCCATTTATTATAAAATATTTGAAAGTCATTTGTATTAAAAATCTATTTCTGCAAACTACCAGAAACTACAACTTAATACAAAAAGTTCATGCTTCAACTTGGCAGCGGTTTTGTATATTAAATAGAATATTTAAATTTTTCAATAACATCAGAATTGATAAATAACACAGGCCTGCAAAAATTCGACTTTTTTTTTATTTTTGATATTGAAGTCGTTTCCTATGTAATTTAGTGCGCTGAACAAGATCCCGTGTCCTAAAATGGCCTAGCACGTCAGAATTTTAAGAAAAGTGGGGGAAAGAGCCCAAAAACCGTGTTTTTGGGTGTTTTCAAGAATTTTTTTCTCCTTAACCTGACGTGCTAGAAACTTATACTAGGTCTTAAATTAAAGCTTAAAGTGTGCACTTTAAGACCCATATGAGCAAGTAAAAAAAAACTTAAGGGATTTTGAGAAAAGTGGGGGGAAAAAGCCCCAAAAAAATTTTTTTACACACTTTATATCGGAGTGGTTTTTTATGTATTTTTGTGCGCTGAACACGATCCCGGGTTCCAAAATGGCCTAAAACGACAGGATTTTGAGAAAAGTGGGGGTAAAAAAATAAAAAAAACGCGTTTTTAGGGTGGAAAAAAATTTTTTTGGTGCCCTTTACCCCCACTTTTCTCAAAATCCCTTAAGTTTTTTTTGACTTGCGCACATGAATCTTAAAGTGCACGCTTTAAGCTTTAATTTAAGACCTAGTAGAAGTTTCTAGCACGTCAGGTTAAGGAGAAAAAAATTCTGGAAAACACTCAAAAACACGTTGTTTAGGCTCTTTACCCCCACTTTTCTCAAAATCCCTTAAGTTTTTTTTTTACTTGCGCATATAGGTCTCAAAGTGCACACTTTAAGCTTTAATTTAAGACGTAGTAGAAGTTTCTAGCACGTCAGGTTAAGGAGAAAAAAATTCTTGAAAACACCTAAAAACACGGTTTTTGGGCTCTTTCCCCCACTTTTCTTAAAATTCTGACGTGCTGGGCCATTTTGGGACACGGGATCTTGTTCAGCGCACTAAATTACATAGGAAAACGACTTCAATATCAAAAATAAAAAAAAAAAGTCGAATTTTGCAGGCCTGTGTTATTTATCAATTCTGATGTTATTGAACTAAATTTAAAAATAATAAAAAAAAATATTAAATAATTTATTTACTCTTAAATCTTATCAACTTAATAATAATTTTTATATATAAATATATTAAAAATCAATTTAAATTGTTAAATTTAAATTTTCAATTTTTTATTTTAATTAATTGTTAATTTATTAATTGAAAAGTTCCATTCAAAACATATTTTGTAAAAGTACACTAGGAATTTGTTTATATCGTTGTTATTTCCCATCTATGCTCCAATAAGTGTATTCCGAAAGTTCTTTAGGAGAACTTGCAATTTTGCTAAGTAATAATTATGATATTTATAGGTTTAATTAAATAAAATTTTTATGAAACGTCACTTTCTTCAAATAGTATCACTGGTTTACTGTTTTTCGGACAAATGATGATTTCGACAACTATACTTTCTAAATTTGAATTAGTGAAAAGTGAGCTACTAATTTAGATTTAGAGATTAGTGATTTTACTAGTTTTTATGGGAGCTCGTCGCAAATTCAATAAATAATTTTTGTTAATTAACATTGCTTTTTGTTTTTTAAATACCCAAGTTATCGTTTTCAATTTGTTGTGCTGGTCCATCTGTATCTCCACCTCCTCGAAATGGTTCTAGTAGTGATCCTCGTTGTGTTGGTTCTACCTCTCCACCTCCTCGAAATGGTTCTAGTAGTGCTTCTCGTAGTCTTTGTTTTACCGGTTGTACTTTTTCTTAAAAAAAATTAACATTCTATAATTTTTAATTTACTTATTCTTTATTACTAAAGAAATTTTTTGTTATTGATTTTCAATTTCAACAAATATTATGACTATTGACTAAATTCAGAAACGAATCAATTCACCTATTATTGATCCATTTATTATAAAATATTTGAAAGTCATTTGTATTAAAAATCTATTTCTGCAAACTACCAGAAACTACAACTTAATACAAAAAGTTCATGCTTCAACTTGGCAGCGGTTTTGTATATTAAATAGAATATTTAAATTTTTCAATAACATCAGAATTGATAAATAACACAGGCCTGCAAAAATTCGACTTTTTTTTTATTTTTGATATTGAAGTCGTTTCCTATGTAATTTAGTGCGCTGAACAAGATCCCGTGTCCTCAGGGACTGTCTCGAAATATTTGTGTCGTGTCCGTGTAGTGTCGCGACTCGACACGTTTGAAAACAATTAAAAGTATCGTGGCGAGACCCGACACTTTTAAAACTTTTCAAACGTATCGTGGCACGACCCGACACAGTTAAGAAATTCATAATTGTATCGTGGCGAAGCACGATACGTTTAGAAATTTGTAATCGTATCGTGGCAGGACTGGACACGTTTACGAATTTCCAAAAGTATCGTGGCGCGACTAGACACAATAAAAATTTGAGAATCGTATCGTGGGGCTGAACTACACGACACAATACAAAAATAATTATGAATTTCGTGTCGCATACAATGAAACTTGTTGATCAACATCTTGACAGTTTATTAATCCTTCAATAACATTTCAAGAAATAAAATTAAAATAAAATAGATATAGATTGAATATATATCAAATGTAAATTATTAAATTTATATTATATTATATTATATTATAATATTATAATTATTACAATATTATATTATATTATATTATATTATATTATATTATATTATATTATATTATATTATATTATATTATATTATATTATATTATATTATATTATTTCCACGAATTTCTGTTTTCATCCTATACTGTTTATTTTCATGTATTTCTTTTTGTATTATCAACAACTTATTGTCTAGTATGTAAACAAACCACACTTAAAATTAAAAATAATTTTGTTCAATAAAATTAATAGATTAATTTAATTTATTAACATTTTAATATTATTATGATTTAAAGAATTGAAAAAAATGTAAGACTTGATTACGAATTCAATATCAGTTTTTTAAAATTCAAAATGGCGGATCCAATATACCGAATCAAAATAACTAAAAATGGGCAAATTCGTCTAAACCATGTTACCCAGGGGTTTTCGGGGTCGCTGATTACGAATCTGACATCAGTTTTTCAAAGTTCAAAATGGCGGATCCAATATGGCGGACGACAAAATAAAAAATTAATCGGATTGTATTAAAAACCTATTACTCGGGGGTTTTCAGGGTCATTGATTACGAATTGTGACAAAAGTTTTTCAAAATTCAAAATGTCCCAAAAAACGCTCGAGTAACAAGTTTCAAAAGATCCGATCCTTTTTAAAAAATTGTTCAGCATATTAGATCCGCCATTTTGAATATTAAAAATAGGAAAAGAACTAGGCGCAATTGCGCCTACATCTAGGGTTTCATGGCGCTTTAAATTTTAATGTCAACTACTGGGACATGTCAACTATAGGGACATGTCAACTATAGGGACATGTCAACTATATGGACATGTCAACTATATGGACATGTCAACTATTGGGACATGTCAACTATTGGGACATGTCAATTACTGAGACAGGTCAACTACTGGGACATGTCAATTATAGGGGCATGTTAACTAATGGGACATGTAATGTCCATTCATGTAATGTCCATTCGGGAAAATGTCCATTCAGTAAATGGAGATTTGGGATCTGTGGGCCCCAACATTTGAATTTGGGAGCTATGGTGCCCCAAAATTTGAATTTGGGATCTGTGGTGCCCCAAAATTTGAATTTGGGATCTGTGGTGCCCCAAAAGTTTAATTTGGGATCTGTGGTGCCCCATAAGTTTAATTTGGGATCTGTGGGGCCCCAAAATTTGAATTTGGGATCTGTGGTGCCCCAAAAGTTTAATTTGGGATCTGTGGTGCCCCAAAAGTTTAATTTGGGATCTGTGGTGCCCCAAAATTTTAATTTGGGATCTGTGCCCTAAAATTTGATTTTGGGAGCTGTGGTGGCCCAAAATATACGACGGACAGACGGACGCCAAAGTGAAACTATAAGGCTTTCGGCCATGGGCCACGAAACCCTAAAAAACTGATGTTACATTTGTAATCAGCGACCCTGAAAACCCCTCAGTAACCGGTTTCAATCCAATCCGATTAATTTTTTATTTTGTTGTCCGCCATATTGGATCCGCCATTTTGAATTTTAAAAAACTTTTGTCACAATTCGTAATCAATGACCCTAAAAACCCCCGAGTAATAGGTTTTTAATACAATCCGATTAATTTTTTATTTTGTCTTCCGCCATATTGGATCCACCATTTTGAACTTTGAAAAACTGATGTCAGATTCGTAATCAGCGACCCCGAAAACCCCTGGGTAACATGGTTTAGACGAATTTGCCCATTTTTAGTTATTTTGATTCGGTATATTGGATCCGCCATTTTGAATTTTAAAAAACTGATATTGAATTCGTAATCAAGTCTTACATTTTTTTCAATTCTTTAAATCATAATAATATTAAAATGTTAATAAATTAAATTAATCTATTAATTTTATTGAACAAAATTATTTTTAATTTTAAGTGTGGTTTGTTTACATACTAGACAATAAGTTGTTGATAATACAAAAAGAAATACATGAAAATAAACAGTATAGGATGAAAACAGAAATTCGTGGAAATAATATAATATAATATAATATAATATAATATAATATAATATAATATAATATAATATAATATAATATAATATAATATAATATAATATAATATAATATAATATAATATAATATAATATAATATAATATAATATAATATAATATAATATAAAAATTATATATTATTGTATATTATTTTGTATGCATATTATTATTAGTATTATTATTATTCCATATATACTATATTATAATAGATAATACATAATAGATAAGTTTAAATTAATTGAACAATTTTTTTTCATGCGACACGACATATTTATGCAGAATTATCGTGTCGTGGCAAGTCATGATACGATACGATTCTCAAATTGTTAATGTGTCTAGTCGCGCTACGATACTTTTGGAAATTCGTAAACGTGTCCAGTCCTACCACGATACGATTACAAATTTCTAAACGTATCGTGCTTCGCCACGATACAATTATGAATTTCTTAACTGTGTCGGGTCGTGCCACGATACGTTTGAAAAGTTTTAAAAGTGTCGGGTCTCGCCACGATACTTTTAATTGTTTTCAAACGTGTCGAGTCGCGACACTACACGGACACTTTCTTAAAATTCAACAACATTTCGTGTCCGAGACAGTCCCTGCGTGTCCTAAAATGGCCTAGCACGTCAGAATTTTAAGAAAAGTGGGGGAAAGAGCCCAAAAACCGTGTTTTTGGGTGTTTTCAAGAATTTTTTTCTCCTTAACCTGACGTGCTAGAAACTTATACTAGGTCTTAAATTAAAGCTTAAAGTGTGCACTTTAAGACCCATATGAGCAAGTAAAAAAAAACTTAAGGGATTTTGAGAAAAGTGGGGGGAAAAAGCCCCAAAAAAATTTTTTTACACACTTTATATCGGAGTGGTTTTTTATGTATTTTTGTGCGCTGAACACGATCCCGGGTTCCAAAATGGCCTAAAACGACAGGATTTTGAGAAAAGTGGGGGTAAAAAAATAAAAAAAACGCGTTTTTAGGGTGGAAAAAATTTTTTTTGGTGCCCTTTACCCCCACTTTTCTCAAAATCCCTTAAGTTTTTATAGGTCTCGCATATAGGTCTCAAAGTGCACACTTTAAGCTTTAATTTAAGACGTAGTAGAAGTTTCTAGCACGTCAGGTTAAGGAGAAAAAAATTCTTGAAAACACCCAAAAACACGGTTTTTGGGCTCTTTCCCCCACTTTTCTTAAAATTCTGACGTGCTGGGCCATTTTGGGACACGGGATCTTGTTCAGCGCACTAAATTACATAGGGAACGACTTCAATATCAAAAATAAAAAAAACCATGCAGGCCTGTGTAATTATATGTATTTGTATTACAAGATAATTAATTTTTCATTTACCCTTTTTTTTAAGAATTTTCATGGCGTAACATATATTTAAGAAATAAAAATTTTAATTATTTAATTTAAATTAAAATTATTTTAAATTTAATTAATTAAATGATTTAATTTTGTCGAAAAAATTTTCCAGAAGATATTTGCAAAAATTAAAACAATGCTTATTATAGTAATTTACGAATTCAAAAAAATTTACCTTGACCATAATTATTTTCTATTTCTTTAATTTCATTTAAAAGAAAATTTTGGAGTCCATCGAGAATATCTGTTATATATAAAATTTTGTATTAAATATTGATACATTTATTTAGATAGAATTAAAAAAAATTATCGTATTACATATTTTTATAAATTACCTTTTAAGGATATTAACTCTTTATTTGTTGCATATTTTGCGAACTTTGTGAATTTATCATCAAGAACTGTAAGAAGTCGTTAATAAATATAACGCAAGATAATAAATAATAATAAAAGAATGTATTTTTTTAAATCATAAACTGATTTAATTTGCTAAATGTCAATTATTAAAGAAACAAAACAATTTTTATCTACAAATTTATATATAACAGATTAAAATTTTTTTTAACAATTTACTTATACTAACGGAATATTTTCTTTAAATTATTATTCTAAAAATTTTATCAGACCCTAAAGTGAATATAAAAATAATTTTTCATTATTGTTAATGTAAAATGATTACCTTTTTTCAACAAAATTATAATACTTTTAAATAGAAAAATTTTTTGTTTTCTCATATGTTATGAAAAATTTTATTATCTTTAAGATAATAAATGTCAATTTGATATTACAATCACTTACCTTGTAGAAGATCTTTTACTGTATTTATTATTGAAACAGTCAAATTTCCCACGTTACCTCCAACATCTATAAATGTTTTTATTTATAAATTAACTTTATTTAAAAAATTATTCAATAGAAGGAAAAATTTTCTTCTGTTACATAAGCAAATAAAATTCTACTAAATTTTTCAACTGATCCAATAGCAAAAATGTAAAAATTGTATTTTTTTAAAAAATCATAACTATTGTATAAAAGGATGAAAAAAATTTTCACCTATGAGATTTAGAAAGTTTTTTTTTCTACTCTTTCGAATCGTGCAAACATTTGTTTAAAAAAATTTTAATTTATCCATTGCTTTTGAAAATTAAAAATATTTTTTTTATTTTCAAAAAAGGGCTAAATTTTGAATTAAAAAAAAATATTATCATATTTAATAAATTAAATAAAAATTATATTCTGTAACAAAATTTACCTGAAAAATGTTTTAAAATTTTTTTTGTGGCGTTTATGAAGTTCAATATGTCTGTAATAATAATTAAAATAATTAATACCTAATAAAAATGAATTTTTTAAAATATTTTTTCTTATTGTGTCCCGTTTGCATGTAAATGAATAAATTTAATTTTTAATTTATTATTATTATTATTATTAAGATGAAGTAAAAAAACGATATTTTTCCATATTCCTTTTTTTCAAAAGGAAAAAATTTGATTTATTTCAATGTGTTAAGAATACTAAAACTGAACATGTTAATTTAAAATATATTTGTAAGTTATACCATCTTGTAAAATATCCATGTTCGCTACTGGCAAACTTATACTTGACACACTGTCACTTATATCTGTAATTTTAAAAAAATATATAAATGTTTTTAAGAAAAAAAATTTTAATCTTTATTGTTTTTAAAAAATTTAGAAATAACTTATAGTTTTCTTTTTACATTGATCTTTTTTGAAAAAAAAAATTCATTTTTGAACTAAAGAGTAAATACGAAACATTTCAAAAAATTTATTTTAAATAAATTAATTAGAACTATTTGTTATCCATAAACAAATAGTCAAAAAAATATTACTTAAGATATTTGTAAAAGTTATAATAATGCTTATAGTATAATTTACTAATTTAGTTTACCTTGAATAAGTTTACTTTCTACTTTAGGAGCATCAGATAAAATTAATTTTTCGATTATACGGAAAACACCTGCAATATATAAAATTTATATTAAAAATTGAAACATTTATTTAGATAAAATTAGTAACTTAATTATCGTATTATGTATTTATATAAATTACCATGTGTGTGCTTTAACGCTCTTTTTATTGCAGGTTGTTTAGCATCTGTAAGAAGTTGTTCATAAATCAAAGGAAAAAAATAGCGCATTCGCAAATGTAATAAATAATGTTTGTTAATTAATATTGTTTTTATAGAAAATAGAATAGACTTAAATAGAATAAATACTTAAATTTAATTTTATTGCAATTTTCCAAAATTTTTGAAATTTATTTCTCCTTTTTCATGACGAAAATTTTCCTAAATGCTGCTTGACTACTCTCTAAATTTGAATTTGTAAAAATGTTACTAAACTAATTAGTAATTAAATGTTTGACTAATAAAATAGTAACATTTTGACATTCTACTAATACGTTAGTAAGCAAAGTATAGAAGCTGTGGTTGGTATGTTTTTAGTGTCATATTGTGTTCATGTGTACATATTCTAAATAAATTGAACTAATCGTCTTTTGCTATAATGCAGTACAAAAAGTTTTGAAAATAGAATCATCAAGTTTTCCAATATTTGCATTCTTATTTTAATATTTTGTATAGTTTCAAAATTTTCTCAGCATAAATATTTTTAAGAATATTCGAAACTTTTAAAGGTTATGTACGTTTAAATGCCATAACACATATATTTTCTCGACGTTTTCAACAGCGACTTCACACTAGTACCCGATGCCAACAATCATGTTCAAAGTTGTGTTCAATCGACTTCTTTTATTATAAAAATTTTTTATTTGCAGGATAAATTTGTATCTTTTTAAGACAAATTTTTTCTAGCTTAATATAATATAAAAATATATAATATAATACATATAATATAAAATAAAAAAATTTTTTTTTTAGATAAAAAATAATGTTCCAAAATGAAAAATGTTAAAAGTTTTTTTTGAAAATGATGTTCCATATGTAACTATTGCTTCCTCGTGGAGGAAGCTTTGTAGTCCTTTAGTTTATAAAACTTTTCAAAGTGGCGGAAACAAATTTTATTCTTTATAGAAACATGTTATATGAGATCCTGATCAATTGTCCGGATGTATGTGTGCATGTGTGTGTGTGTGTGGGTCCCTTTTTTGTTTAGAAGATAACTTTAACAGGTATTAATAGATTTAGATAAAATTTGGTAGGCTCATTTATCATATTAATATCTCAAATCTGACCAAAGGATTTTAAAAAATACCCCAAAAAAAAATTTTTTATCGTCTTTTTTCCAAAAAATTTTTTTTAATCGAAAACATTTTTAAACAGAAAAATTTAAGGTTGTATATAATAAAATTGTATTCCTTACGTCAAGACGAATCGATCAATATATATATAAAGTATACATTTGAGGTAAATTTAAAGAATTAATGAAAGTTAAAAAATCAAAAATTCACATTTTGGAAATAAAATTTTGCTTTCTCCACGAGGAAGCAAATTTTCTTGCTGATCGTAAAGAGGAAGCAAAATGTTCATGTAATGAACATCTGAATTTACAACTTTTTTAATAAATGTTTCTTTCAGATGAAAATTAGTTTTTATTTTACTATTACTGTTATATTAGTGATTTTCTTCTACTTCATTAGTAAATATTAAACATTGAAGGGTTACTAATTGAATAGTAATGTTCTACTAATTTTTTAGTCAAGCATTTCTACTAATACAATTAGTAACATTCTATTAATCATTAGTAGCCCACTTTTCTTTAATTCAATTAGTAGATTTCTACTATCAATTAGTAATATTCTACTAATTCAAATTTAGAGAGTAGTGTTAATTATTTTGTTTTTTTTTTTTTTTGGAAATGTTTGTCTAAAAAAATTTTTTTGAGTTTTTTGTCCGAAATTTTGGAATTTTTCAAAAATTTAATTTTGAAAGAGCACAATTCAATATTTTTTTTAAAACTTAAACTTAAAATTTTTTTAATCTATAAGAACGACTCAAACAGAAAAGAAAAATCATCATAACCCAGAGAGTGGGAGCTTCTTATACTACTTCGTGGAATAAAATAATTATTGTTAATTTAAAATTGTTATTGTAGCATTTACTTACCGTCTTTAACTGGTGGTGTATATTCTGGTACAGGGGCTTAAATAGAAAAAATACTTAAAATTAATTTTATTACAATTTTCCAAAATTTAAAAATGTATTTCTTCTTTTTCATCACGGAAATTTTTTTTTCATCATCTCTGAATTTTAATAGTTGTGACGATTATTGAGTAAATTTATTCTCTTTTAAGTAAAATGCAAATATTAATGTTAACAATTTCGTAATGTCTATTCAGTTTTATTTATTTCATTAATAAATAAATAATTTTTTTTATATTATTTATTAATAATTTAATGTACCCGTGTGGAAAATTGATGTGGGCCCCCAGCGGGGGCCCTTATGGATCGCCCTCATCTTGCCCTCAAGTTTGCCATAATGTTTTTTAATCAATAATATTAATAATAAAAGTTAATTAATAATAAATAAGCTTAAGTTATGAATAAATAACATATTTATTTAATAATTATTCAATTTTAAATTAAATTCTTACTCAAATTCAATTTATTAATTAACGTTCTAATTAATTAACTGTCGGATATAACTAAAAGTAATAATAAATTAATTAATTAAAAAATAAAAAAATATGTAATTTATGCATACTATTAACGTATATTTTCATTTTTCAATTAATTCATACATAGAATTAATGATTAAACGCAAACCTGAGAAATAAATAAATCTAACGCCAGGGGGGAATCGAACCTACGACCTACGGACTACGAGTCTAACGCTTTACCAACTACGCTACGCACGATACTTCAAAACGAATGCTAACTTCTTGATGCTATTTAAACTTCAAAAATACCTAACAAAGAAAAGTGCTTAATATCATTTAGTTAAAGTTAAGATATTAAATTATATTTTCCAATCAAATGCAATTTATAAAATATAATTAATTATATGCTTTATGATTATTATCATGAATCATCTCAGGTGAATTTTCAAAAAAAGTGTAAATATATTTTTATTAAAAACGCGTTTTTCGTTGTTCTGAATCATTATAAACATTAATTTTTTGGTGATAAAAAAATATTTGATTTTTGGACTTAGAAAATTTTGCTAATCGATCATGAGGGCGATCCATGCGGGCCCCTACGGTGGCCCTCATCTATTTTGCCATAAGTGTGAGTGTTATTTTCAAAAAAAGTGTAAATATATTTTTATTAAAAACGCGTTTTTCGTGGTTCTGAATCATTATAAACATTAATTTTTTGGTGATAAAAAAATATTTGATTTTTGGACTTAGAAAATTTTGCTAATCGATCATGAGGGCGATCCATGCGGGGCCCCTACGGTGCCCCTCATGGATTCGCCATATGGATCAGCCCTCATGGGCCCCCGCCGGGGGCCCCGAACTCTTGAGGGCAAGATCGTGGCTTTTTCCACACGGGTATTTAAAATTTTTTTTTTTTTTAATAATAATAATTTACTTACAAGAAAAGCCGAAATTGGCATAACCCACAAAAAGTAACAGAGAAATATAAGTGGCTTTCATTATTATTGTTGTGAAAACTATGAAACAATATATTAATGAAAACTGTTTGTGAAAATTCATGAAAATTGCCTTCTATTTATATGCAAGCTTATCACAAAAAGCATAAAAATATTTTAAAAATTTCTTTGCATTAAATGACTTATCTAAAATTTTTTGTATTGCACGATTTTTTGAGTCGGTATCAAAACTACACAAGAATTTTCATAAAAAAGTTATATTGTACAAAACATAAAAATTGTTATTTTTTACATGTATATTTTTTTAATGTTGTTTTTATTTTTTTTTTATTACTTTTGGTGAAACTTGAGATTATTTTTGAAAAAAAATAATAAAATTGTAAAATAAAATTTGAATTATCTTTTTGAAGAAAATATTATTTTTAAATTAAATCTCATTTTTTAAAACTAAACTAAAAAATAGAAATTTAAATACAATTGACAAATTTTCAAAATTTTTTAAAAGGATATTTGGATTTTTTCTAACAATGTTCAATATAGCATTTAAAAAAAAAATTTTTCTGGATGTACATTTCAATGAATTGAATTACAAAAATAAATACTCAAGAACTTTAAATATAATAAATTTTAATTAAATTTAATACTTTATTTAATTTAAAAAAAAATTATTTGCAAATAATACTGCGCAAAAATATGAATCACGTTTTTTACTTGTAATAAAAAATGCATAAAAGAATAAAAAAAAATAAAAATTATGAATATTTTATTTTATTTTTTATTTCAAATGTCAGATAATGCGTGGTGTTCATATAATATTTTTTATTGGTGAATCATGTAAAAACCTTTATTCTAAAGTTGGTAAAATTTTTAAACTATAAAATATCTGTATTTTTATATTTGTTACACGTGTAACGTGCGTGCATTAGATACATAAAATATGTTCTTGAAATTATCAACGTACAAATTCATTTTTTATGTTTTTAAAAATTCAAAAAAATATTATTTCTTTTTCCATTTAAAAAATTTTTTACAATATTTTGTCTCTTTTAGTATATATAATGCAGATCTTCTTTATTTTAATTATTTAACAAATTTTTAATTAAAATTCTTTTTTAAATTAATTATTTTCAATAATTTTAATGAATTTTTTTTATCATAAACTATTTTTCAACAAAAAAATTTTTGAAATTCAATAGTTGTTTAAAATTAAAAATAAATTAGTAAATAAAATTACTAAAAATTTCAATTCACTTGAAATTTAAATTATTTAAAAAAAAAAAGTTTAATTTATAAAACCATTAAAAATATAAATATTTCTGCAATTTTCTATTTAAAACTTTCTGAAATTTAATAATTTTATTTTGAATTTTTCCAAAATTCAATTACTTTTAATGATTTTTATAATATTCTTCGAAAATTAAATTATTTAAAAGCAGTTTTCAATTTAAAAATTTTTTAATTTCAATTTTTGTCTGCAATTTACATACAATAAATTCTTCATATCAACGGAAATTATCAAAGATTTCAATTAAAAATCACTTGAAGTTTATTTATTTTCAAAAATCTGAATTGTAAATCTTTGAAAATTCAATTACTTTTTAAAAAATATTATCTAAAATTATTTGAGAAATTTTATTTTCAATTCTACAAAATTAATTTATTATTGTCTGAAATTTAACAAAATCTTTTGAAATTCAATTAATTCTAAAAATGTCAACTTTTTCCTTTTACAAAACTCAATTATTTTTAATAATTTTAATATTTCATTAAAAATTTAATTATTGAAAAAAAATTTATTTATTTATTTATTTATTTATTTATTTAGAATTACAGACGGGTGATAAACTGCAAATAAAAACTTTAATATTGAATTATTGTCAGAAATTAAAAAAAAAAACTACACCAGTTTTTGCAGAAAATTTATATCAAATTAAAAATCTTCTGCAATTCAATTATTTAAAAAAAAAATTTATTTAAATATCTGATCATTAAAATTAGAAACTATTGCAAAAATTTTTAAATTTGAATAAATTTTTTAACCAAATTTTGAACGAATCGAATCAATTTAAAATTTTCCGCCATATTGGGTCCGGCATTTTGAATTTTTTAAATCTTACCTCAAATTTGGTTTCAGCGATCCCAAAAATTTTGAATACGATAATATGATTGTTTTTTTACCGTTTTGGGCCCACAAACGATTTTTCTACTAGACTGCGAAGGGGTGAAATTTAATTGAAATAAAAAAAAAAAAACCGACTTTTTGTAATGTAAATCGTCTAAAACTACTTTTTTGCATCTTAAAATTGATCCGAGACTTGTATCATAAAAATATTGTTGTAAATAAATTTTTCAACACTTTTTTGAGAAAATCGACAAATTCAAAATTCATATATTACTATACTGCGAAATGGGTGGTTCTGGAATGAAATGTATTAAGTTCGTAAACAACTTTAAAAGCACGTGCCCAGCATAAGTATGTGAATTTAGTTGATGCCAATTGCAATATGTATGTTCGAGAGATTGCATATTTAAAAAGTTCCAATTAAAGCAATATCGAGAGAGGATGTCAACGACACTCTCGTATTTCAAATATAGTTTATATAGTGTCAGAAAATAAATGGAGCATATCTTATACAAAAGAATATGAAAAATGAGAACCCCTGATATATATATATTTTATACTCAATTTTCTTCATAGGAACAATGGGCATATGCCAAGTAAACAATATAGCACTCTTGAGAGTATTATAAAGTAGAGGCTTTACGTACGGATACGCCGACGACAAATATAGATGTGCGGTCTCCTATATAACTTTCCAATCGAGGTTCTGAACTTGAATCTCCACCTGTCTGGAACTTGCAAAGCCCCGTACATTTAAAGCGGATGGATAAAAAAACACTCTTTCTTCTTAGCCCGGATTTTCTATACCATTCGACTTAACTTCTCTATTACACACACACACACAAAACTGAAAAAACTGTTTTAGAATTATAGAAAATATTTGATTATCATGAAAAATTGTTATAACTCTAATAGTAAGATTAACAATTTCAAGTTTTTATTGCAACCTTATTAGATGGTAATTTACAATTTTTTTTACCTCCTAGGTTATTTTACAACCATAAAGTTTATTTTACTTTAATTAAGTTTTTTCAAGAACATTTAAGTCTGTTTTACAACCTTATATTAAAGGTTAATTTACATTTTTTTCGAGGGGGAATTTACTAGTTAAAAACGTGTACACTTGACTACCAATAATACACCTCATATTACTCTTATTACTAAGTACTACACGTTATTACAGTTTAGTACACATTATTACAGAGATATTACAGATTTTTTTTTTCGTTATTACAGCACCGTAATAACGCATTGTTACACTGTATTACACACTAAAAAAGAAATCTTGATTTCAGCCTATTTTTGAGGCTGAATGTAAGGTGTAAACGGAGTCAGACCAATTAAAAAAGGACAGACTTATGCAAAATATATGGGCTTAATTTAAGGTGTAAACGGTTTAAGACTTTGTTTTTACTGTGTACACGTTATTACACAAGTATTACAGGAAGAGTGTACACTTGACTACCTGAGTAAATTCCCCCTTGATTTTTTTACTTCCTTCAAGGTTAGTTTACAACCTTAAAGTTTTAAATTTACAATATTTGTTTCTAGAATCATCAAGTTTATTTTACAACTTTAAATATTTACATCACTAAGTTATTCTACAGTTTTCAAATTCTATTACAACCTAAAATTTTATTTTTTGCTAAGGTATTTTATAACCTTCAAGTCTATTTTACAACCTTAACTTTTTTACATTCTTCATAGTTGTTCTACAACCTTAAAGTTTGTTTTACATCCCTAAGATTTTTTCTAGAACCTTAAAGTTCTTTTATAACCTATTATAGGTTTATTTACAATTTGTTTTACTTCCTTCACGGTTATATATAACCTTTAAATTTATTTTAGGTTTCTAAAATTTGTTCTCGAATATTCAAGGAGGTTTTACAACTTTATCACTGTAAAAATTTAGGGAGTTAACAACACCGGGAGTTAGGAGTTAAATTTTTCTAGTTAAAAATCAACTCAAAAAGGGAGTTAACAATTAAATGAATTCCTTAAAACTAACTCCCTAGGCATAAAATTAACTCGTAAAGCATTAACTCCCTTTGCTTTAACTCCAAAAAGGTGGGACCTTTTATAGCATCCCCTAGGGAGTTGAAATTCAACTTCTTTTTTTTTACAGTGGGTGTTTTCGGCATTCACTCAGAGTTAACTCTAGAGTTAACAGTGGTGCTCAATGATATTATCTTTGAAAATTTATTTACCTAAATAAAATAATTGATTTTCTATTTTCATCACCCTGAGTTTGAAGTTAGTTGTCTTTGTTTGCTTACTTTTTTTTAATTTATACGTATTTTTTGTTTTTCATTTAAAAATGGAACATATTTTTGCTACCCATAAACGTGTTATTTTTTTAAAGTTTATAATTTTCAAATTTTTCATTATTTCCCTAACTTTAATTAATCTGAATTGTTTTAGAAACTAGATTATTTATTTTAATTAAAGTTGTTTTTTATAAATAAAAAGTTAAAATAATTTTTAATAAAAAATAAATTATTATGTTTCAATTTACACTTTTCAAACAAACAATCCGTTCACAAATTTTGTCGGCCATTAAAGGTTAGGACTGACCCTTTTTATTTACTCTCACAAGAAAACAGAGTTAACTCTGGGTCATCTTGTAATAAATTTTTGGGGACTTTTATGAAATCTAGAAACAAAAAATTTTATTTTAACATTGCATTACTAGAATAAAAGGCCCGTTTCACATGTTGTTACAATTGCAAACCCTGTGCCAATCAAAATGAATCGTCTATGCTAAATTGCCAATCAACAACGTTCACATCCAACAGACGAACTGAAAATCAAAATTTACATTTGAGCACCACTGCTAACTCTAGAGTTAACTCTGAGTGAATGCCGAAAACACCCACTGTATTGAAGTTTAATTTACAACCTAAAAATTTAATTTACCTTCTCCAAATTTCTGCAACCTAAACTTAATTTTCAATTTTTAATGTTTATTCAAGTACCTTAAAGTTTTTTTTTATAATCTTAA